GAGAGCGCAGCCATTGGTTTCACCCACATAATTGTTTTGGGGGTATTTAGTGCACTGAGTGAAGTACACCACATCTTGTGATAGGTATATGTAGGACTAATAGGTCTTGACAGGTGTGTTGTGGGAGGCGCTGATCATCGTAGCAGTAGAGATATCTACACATTTTGCATCTGTTGTTCTGGCAGGGTCTGGTGCTGCTAGGGTGACCAGATCGCAAGTGTGAAAAAGCAGGACGGGGGCAATCTGTAGCTCAAAGTAGCATTCTGGAACCCCACTGTGACACGATCGGGATATATTTGGTACAAAGTATGCCTTGTGAGGTATTATTTTAAAAGTCTTGACCTGTTGAACCTTAATATCCTATTGATTTGTATGTGCCATCATTGTATGTGATGTTATGAAGTATTGCTATATGTGTTACTGAAATATGTTGTGAGGTTGAAAGATGCCCACAGCTGGCCTTTCAGTAGGGACAAAGGAGTAGCTATCACTGGCAAGACAGGTGGTGATGGCCCATCAAGAATAATCTACTCTCCCAGAGGCCTCTCAGAGAGAGCACATACGCCATGAGGGCAGCCTAACCCACATCACAGCAAGGATCTTTCTAGCAGCTGGAAGAAAGTATAAAAGAGGGACAGTGACATCATCACTTAGCCTCCCCCCCCACACACGCACATCTCAACACCTGGAAGAGCGTCTGGAAGACAAAGACTTTGAACTGGGGAGATTGGTTCCAGGCTGGAAGGAAGTTCAGTCTGTGTATTAGGAACTGTGAACTGCCTGTAACGTCTGTTAGGGTGAGACACTGCTTAATTCAAATCTTAGTGTGCTAAAGTTAGCGTTTAGACTGCAAATTTATTTGTATTTCTTAGGTAACCAACTTTGATCTCTGTGCCTGCTATTTATAGTCACTTAAAATCTATCTTTCTGTAGTTAATAAATCTGTTATGTCAACCAAAGACACACTGGTTGGAGTGCTTGGGAAATCTCAACTCAGATGACAAAGGCTGGTGCATGTCCACATTCCTTTGAAGAAGTGGCGAACTAACTAATGAGCTTGCACTGTCCAAGGGAGTCTTGAGCAGCGTAAGACGATATATTTCTGGGGTGCAAGGCTGGGCTTTGGGGGGGATTAGCTGGTGCCTCTCTCTGTATGATTCATGAGTAACTCAAGGAACATTCATGCAATTTAGCTGGTGTGGGGCTCCACATGCTGATGGCTGAGTGATCGCAGCGCCTCTAGGGGTTTGCTGCTCATCACTGGCATAGCACTGAGAGAGGCTGGAGAGTTAAGGAAGCACAGTGGTGCAACAGTTCCAGGTTGTGCCCCTAATATCGGGATATCTGGTCAACCCAGGTGCTGCTCTGAGATGGTGTGTCCTGGCCTGTGAGGAGCTTGCTTCTGATAATGACCTTGAAATTGCCTGGGGGAGGAGGGTTATCTGAAAGCCAGAAGAGGGGGTTCTCATCAAGCATGGGTTATAGATGTTTGATGCTACCCTATATGGGTTCCAGTGTGCGGTAGTAGGTGTTAACTAGAGGTGTGTGGTCAGAGGCGGTTTATTTCTGTATTGAAGCAGGTTCTCCCAGGGTATTTGGGTGGCCCGTTCCATGATGCGATCTACTTCTCTGGTGGAGAGTCCTTGTTAGACGAAGGTGGTTTTAAGTGTGTTACGGGATATATCCCGGACTTTCTCCTCAGAGCATATTCTGTGTTATCCGAGTGCCTGGCTACAGTTAACAGATTTCTTGCTGCATTTGGGGTGGTTACTGGATCTGGGAAGGTAGGTGTGGTGATCCATGGGTTTCTTGTATATAGTTAAGTATCAGAGGGATAGCTGTGTTAGTCTGAATCTGTAAAAAGCAACAGAGGGTCCTGTGGCACCTTTAAGACTAACAGAAGTATTGGGAGTATAAGCTTTCGTGGGTAAGAACCTCACTTCTTCTGTTAGTCTTAAAGGTGCCACAGGACCCTCTGTTGCTTTGTAGATAGTTGTCTGTAAGGTTCCATTGTTGGAGCTGATCATGGTGTCCAGGAAGTTGAGCTACCGTGGAAGTGTTCTAGTGAGAGTTTAATGGATGGGTGGGTGGTCATAGAAGACGCGGTGGAAATCTATGAGGGAGTGTAGGTCGTCCGTCCAGAGGATGAAAATATAATTGACGTATCTCAGGTATATCATTGGTTTCATGGTGCATTTGCCCAGAAATAATTCTTCAAGGTGGCCCACAAAGAGGTTGGCATACTGGGGACCCATCCTAGTACCAATGGCTGTTCCCATAGTTTCAATGAAGTGTTTGTTGCTGAATATAAAAGCGTTATGGGTGAGGATGAAATGGATGAGTTTGGCAATATGTTTGGGGTGGATATCTGAGGATTGTCCATTATCTTGTAAATATCTGAGGCAGACTGCAATGCCATCCATTGTGAGGGAGGTTAGTGTACAGGGAAGTGACATCCATGGTTTTCCGAGATTCGCAGTTTCTGGAGGAAGTCAGCTGTAACCCTGGAGAAAGCTGGTCCTTTGTGTGGTGAGTGGTGTGAGGATGGTTTCGGAGTCCCGATATTCCTTCAGTAAGAGTGCAATGGCATTTTTTCCTCTCCCCCACCCCCATGACTGGAGTGATGTTAACAGGCCACTTAACCTTGAAAGGTCCCTTGAAATGCGTGTGAACTGATTATGCTAAACAATCTGTTTCACTTTGTATTTAGCTGTGCCACTAGGGCAGAAGAAGAAGAAGAGGAGCTCTGTGTGGCTCGAAAGCTTGTCGCTCTCACCAACAAAACTTGATTCAATAAAAGATATTCCCTCACCAACCTCATCTAAAGTCAGGCACCTAAATTCATATTTATGGACTTAAGAGGCCTGATTTCCAGAGATAATGGCAGCCCCAACTTCCCCTTATGACAATGGGAGCCAAAGGAGCTTAGCACGTCTGAAAAATCAGCTCACTTTTAATTAGTGCCTAAATATATATTTAGATAGTTTCAGCAGCCATTTGTTTTAATTTCTGGTTGAGATTATGGCTGTGTTAAGATATCACACTTTTATAGTGGAGATTGTGGTTATCGGAGTATTTGCTTGCATTGCAAAAGCAGAATTAGTTTAACCACAATCCTGCAAAACAAAGCAGGTTCTGGAAACCTTGTTGTTTTGGTTTTTAAGTTACAACTGTACTTACCTGAGAGAGATCCTTATTACTAAAATTACAATGCTTAGACTTAGCAGTGTCATGGGCAATGACGTATCTAGCTAATCAAAATAAGAATACCCTTTTCCCAATCTGCTGTGAAGCTAATGTAAAAGTCACGCAAAATGCCAAACAGGATTTAAACTGCTGTTGTGTTAAACTGAACCAAGACAGACAGCTAAATTTAGAGCACAACTCCGGCTGTAAATGCCATAGGTTCAGAAATGAAAAAACACATTTGGAAGACAGTGCTGGCCACCACTCTATGTTCCAAATGTTTTATTTTGTTAAAATTCAAGGATCAATGGGCACGAGAAAAGGAGCCCAGTGTATTATGAACAGCAGAGAGGGCTACTAGCCCAGATGCCCGAGTCAGCAACATTGACCATCTTTAATTTCTTCAGCCTGGTCTCTGAAAGCAGAATCTGCTGGGCCGTCATCTCTGTGCATGGAAATTTGTCCCATTTATCCAAGAAGCTCTCCTGAACCAAATTGCTCGTCAGCAATGAAATTTTATGCATCAGATTTTTATTTCAAGTCTGCAGCAGAAACGGCAGCCTGGACTGACACAGAAATTCCAAAATTTTCAGATTATAAAAAACTCAACGCAGATTGGATTAACCAAAATCTGGCACTGGTTTATTTTCTCCAGCAATTTCTCTTTGTTTTACAGCCATGTTACTTCAGCACACCATTTTATGAGCCATCTTTCCTTATTCCCAGAAAGTGTTCACTGGAGTAATAAGGTGTGCCAGGTACCTCAAACTGACCATCCCCAAAAGGCAATGAATCGTTATATTATATAACTGCTCCTAGCAAGCTTTCCAAAATATTGCGTCCCCAGTTAATTGGCTCATACCCTACAAGCACGTGGGAGAACAGGAAAGAAAAAAAATGGATCTTGTGTAAAATTTCAGAAAGTACCAAGTTGCCCATTTTCAAAAGTGATTTGGGCACTTTGGAGCCTAAGTCACTTATCAAAATTTTACCCCCCCCTTGCTTGGTCTATTCCCCTTTTAAGAACTGTGAACTTGTGAAATGTACCCTCTCACCTGAGGTGTCTTATGGTAAAACCTTATGGAGGGTGTGTATTTCAGGGCTCTTACAAAGATGCTGTCCATAAGTTACCATAAACCTTGGGACTTGTAATGTCTAATTCTGGGGGTCTGTGCTTCTGACAATTTAGGAGTGAATTTCCAAAAAAATGAGGAAATAGCAATAACTTGAGCCATTTCAACCCCGCACCCCCAGCAGTTCTGTGGGCTGCCGATCTCAATGCTGATCCGTGACACCATGTGTTATTCATGACACGAAGCCTCACGTGGCTCTGCTCGCGGATCTCACTCTTGGCTTGCATCCCCCACTACTATTCCACTCCTACATCTCAAGTGAGCCGATAGTGCCAATTATGTGGTAGTTTTGCAATATGATTCAGTGGCTAGGAAGACCCACATTTTCACTTGTGAACTGAGACAGCATTTGTGTAACAGTAATAAATACTTTAATTTATCAGCACCCAGCACTCCGGAAGGCTGTAGAGCACCTTAACAAAACCGCCTACAGTCAACATTCAGAACCCAGGTCTCAGAAAATAAAAAGCTGCTGCATTAATCCTTAGTGCCATCATGTTCCCAGGCATGAACATTTTTATCTTGTTTTCATGAACAGGCCCTGCATCCCATGAGTGATTTACACTTGATTTTAAACCAGAGGTGAGTTGCCAATTGTCTTATGCCATATTTGGATTCAGATTACACCTTACAAAACCCTAGTTACATATCTACCCCATCCCCAGCTGATTTCTTTCGCACCTGGTGAACACAGCCTTCTCGTTCTTAGCATCCATGGTGAGTTTGATGGTTTCCTGGCCCGAGCCTGTACTGATGGTTTCTGTGACGATATCAGCTTTATCCTCCTCTTCCTCACTGTCTGAGCCTCCAGATGAGCTGCTGTCTGAAGCCACCAGAGGTGCCTTCCTTGCCACACAGACATTCCAAACACAGGGTGAGGCAGCGCTGACTGCAAAGAAAGAGTAAATAATTCACATGAAAAAAAATGAACAGAAACACAGGACGAACTGCTAAAACTCTCAAATATATCCCAAATACTTTCAGTAAAACAGAATGGTTACTTAACCTACGGCAGCTGTGGTTCTTTGAAACGTTCTCAGTATGGATCCCACCATAGGCAGGTATGTGCCTCACATATGTGAGGTGGCTTTTTTTTTAATTGTAGTATCCATCGGGGCTGCACACGGACCCTGTGCTTCCTTGTGCCCCTGTGCAAGGACATAAAGGCTGGAGCAGCCACAACCCTCCTTCGGGTCCCTCACAATTCAAAACCCGTGTAGCTGAGGTCTCCCAAAGCGGGGATAGAGGACGAGTTGTGGGATCCACACTGACATCAGCATCTCAAAGAAACACAGTTTCTGTAAAGTAAGTAACCGTTCTCTCTTCTTCAAGTATGCATCTCTGTGGAACTCTCTTTGGTAACTGGCAAGCGGTATCCCCTAGGAATGGTGGCAATGAGGAGTTACAGCTGCACCAGTGATGCAGAGATTGTAGTACTGCTCTCTCGAACATGGCATCTGCTCTAGCAACTAAGTCCAATGCATTATGCTTGACAAAAGTCAATGGGCACATTTGTGAAGCAAGCAGAAGATGTTATTGGAGCTCTGGTGGAATAAACCTGATGTTCAGTGGGAGAGGTACACCAGCTAGCTACACTGTGTTAAGCATTTTTGATACCCTCTGTGAGGAGGTGACTTGACCATTAGAATATCCAGCTGCCACTCTAGACACATAGGGAGATAGTGTGAATGATCTGATCCTGTCAATGTAACAAAGCATAGTCCTGGATACATCTAGTGTGTCTCATTTCCTTCTTCCATGTGCCAAGTGTGGTTCTGGGAAGAAGACGGGCAGGATGATTGACAGGTTTAGATGAAATTCTGAGCCCACCCTAGGAATGAACTTGGGGTGCAGCTGCAGCACCACCATGACGCTATGGAATGTTGTACTGAGAGTGGGGGAAGGGTTCGGCCAAAAGTGTCTGAAGCTCAGTCACTCTCCTGGCCAGAGTAACAGAGACTGCGTTCAGAGCGAGGTGATGCAGGGCACAGGCTGACAGAGGTTCAAATGGAGGCTCCATGAGTCACAGGACTAGACTGAGGTCTCAGGAGAGGTAGGTTCTCTGACTTTCGGCAAATGCATAATGACCCTTTGAGAAACTCTGATATCATGGGGTGAGAGAAGAGCAACCCTGACCATACAGGCAAACTGAAATCACCACAAGGTGGGCTTTAATAGAGCTAACCGCCAGTCTGGCCAGTCTGAAGTGCAATAAGTAGCTGATGATATGTAGTATCGAGGGGGCTGGACAGGGTCCAGAGTATGTTGGGCAGCCCATTCTGAAAAACCTTTTTCATTGATGTGAATGTGTGTTCTTCTGGTACATGCTTTACTGCTCTATATTACGATTTCCTGGACCTGTAGGAAGCAGACTCTGTCCATTGTACTCAACCAGCCAGCAGCCATGACATCAGGTGCAGTGACTTCAGGTCTGGATGGAGTATCTGACCATGATGTTATGAGAACAGGTCAGGACAGGGTGGGAGCTGAATGAAAGGCCAGATACATATTTGCAGCAGGCCATCAGCCGAAACAGTCTTGGCCAATACGAAGCCACAAGAACAGTTGGAAGGTCCCTGAGCAGCGGTTGTGGTCCCGGCTGAGAGCAGGAGAGGTGGGTCGGAGGCAGCACTGGGAGCGTCCTAGCCCCTGGGTGGCAGCTCCCCGTGTGCCCGGCCTGGCAGTGTACCATGTCGGTCAGTGATATGTTCATCACCTTGCAGGGGGTCCTCACCGCAAACCAGGACATCCGAGAGGAAATCAGGAAAGTGGTTCAGACCCTGGAACAGATGGCTCGGGAGATCTTAACGCTGCTGCAGGGGGTTCACCAGGGAGCTGGATTTCAGGACATACCAAAGAAGTGTCAGAAAGCTCGAGAACACTTTGGTGCAGTCAAAACACAGCTAGCATCTCTGAAGACCAAGTTTCCAGCTGATCAGTACTACAGATTTCACGAACACTGGAGGTTTGTGCTACAGCGCTTGGTGTTTCTGGCAGCATTTGTTGTCTACTTGGAGACAGAAACATTAGTTACTCGAGAAGCGGTTACAGAAATACTTGGAATTGAGGCTGATCGAGAGAGAGGTTTTCACCTGGACATTGAAGACTACCTCTCTGGGATTCTGACTCTCGCCAGTGAGTTGTCTAGGTTGGCAGTGAACAGTGTCACCGCAGGTGACTATTCTCGTCCTCTTTGCATCTCCACCTTCATTAACTAGCTGGATTCTGGCTTCCGTCTCCTCAATCTGAAAAATGACTCCTTGAGGAAGTGCTACGACGACCTGAAGTACAACGTCAAGAAAACTGAGGAAGTGGTTTATGACTTGTCAATCCGAGGACTCAATAAGGAGGCAGCGAGTGATGCTGGGGGAGAGAAACAGAAGCTGCTGTTCTAGCAGCATCATGGATTACCTCAGATGGTTGCCAGTGAGAGAGGTGTGTTAGCAAAGCCCTCCCGCCGTAGTTTAGAAGAACCACAAGCTGAAAAGTGCTCTCTATTTTCTCTTGATTTTGGAAGCCTCCCTGGGACTCAGGGAAGTCAGTGGAAAGGCATATGAGAATACTTGGGACTACTGCAGAAAGAAGGTGTCCCGTAACAACCTCAGATTCATGCTCACTTTGGAACAAAATTTCTGGCACTTGGCATTGATGACAACAGCAAACATGTCAATCACTGGGTTTTCCCAACACAGGAACATCGCTGCTATGATGGATTTCCACAGATCAATTGTTTTCTCAGAAAATCAACCATGTTGTTATTGACACCCAGCAGGTGAAGTGTGAGACAGTTCTCGAGGCACCCAGAGCTGCGAGTCACCTTGTTATCCCCCTGCCTCTAGCATGAGAGTGTCTTTCTTGTGGTAGCAGGGTGTCAGCACCCTGACACCACCAGGCTTTCAGCCATTCAAGTACTCTTCTCCGGGCTTATGCCAGCCCTAATTTTGCCTTATAGACTCAGAGTTTAAGGTCAGAAGGGACCATTATGATCGTCTAGTCTGACCTCCTGCACAACGCAGGCCACAGCATCTCACCCACCCACTCCTGTAACAAACCCCTGACCTATGTCTGAGCTATTAAAGTCCTCAACTTGTGGTTTAAAGACTTCAAGGTGCAGAGAATCCTCCAGCAAGTGACCTGTGCCCCACGCTGCAGAAGGCGGCGAAAAACCCCCAGGGCCTCTGCCAATCTGCCCTGGAGGAAAATTCCTTCCCGACTCCAAATATGGTGATCAGCTAAACCCTGAGCATGTGGGCAAGACTCACCAGCCAGACACCCAGGAAAGAATTCTCTGTAGTAACTCAGATAGGTCTTTTGCCTCCACTGCTCCCCTTGGAAGGCTATTCCAGAACTTCACTCCTCGGATGGTTAGAAACCTTCGTCTAATTTCAAGTCTAACCTTCCTGATGGCCAGTTTATATCCATTTGTTCTTGTGTCCACATTGGTACGGAGCTTAAATAATTCCTCTCCCTCCCTGGTATTTATTCCTCTGATATATTTATAGAGAGCAATCATATCTCCCCTCAGCCTTCTTTTGGTTAGGCTAAACAAGCCAAGCTCTTTGAGTCTCCTTTCATAAGACAGGTTTTCCATTCCTCGGATCATCCTAGTAGCCCTTCTCTGTACCTGTTCCCGTTTGAATTCATCCTTCTTAAACATGGGAGACCAGAACTGCACCCAATATTCCAGATGAGGTCTCACCAGTGCCTTGTATAACGGTACTAACACCACCTTATCTCTACTGGAAATGTGAGTCTATGCTCTCGTTGGACCAGAACTGACCAGGACTCCTCAAACTCTATCATCTGTGATGGGATAAGAAATTATTTTTTGGAGTTCCCTAGCAGGCTTATGTGCTGCTACCATCACTAGGCATTTGGCAAGACTCTCTGCACCAACAGTCCAAACTGCAGAGAAGACCAAGAACCCTAGGTTTGGGCAGGCATAAAAGTATTCAAAACCTTCTGGTGGCACCTGATCCCTTTTCTCTGCACACCTAGAGGTGGGAAGAAGAATAGCTGAGGTCTGCCAGAGCCTTTTGGCTGGTTGTAGTATACCTTCATTACTAGGGAGAGTAATTCTGGTCGGTGTCATCACGATGACACCCAGGATACCAAAGAGCTTATGAGACTTCCTGTAGAAACAGTCTTATATCCAAGATCTCCGCAGTTCAGGGCAGGAGGCCCTGGAAGGCTTTAAAGTCATCTAATGCTGGCGTAGGTGCTGGTGTTACTGCCTCATCCAGCAATGAGGAGGATTCCTTGCTGGGACATGGGGATTGTTGTTGTCCCTCTATTGTCTCCTGTTCCTGTGGTGGCCTAGCCAGAAAAGCTGTTGGGAAACATGATCATATTTTTCTAGACGTGCAGGAAGGAGAGCTGCTGCTCCTCAACATGTGGAAGGACAGCCCCCAGTAAGACTAATATGGCCAAAGTGGCCTATTGTATGGGTACTGACCAAATTGGGGCTGGCTGGCCCAGCGCCACTCCCATGCCAGTTGGGGCAGCGCTCTGAATGGGAGCTCTTTAATACCCTCCTTATGGCCATTTTCCAATGATGGGGAGAGGAATCTCTGCTCAGTGCTGGAGAGAAGGAACGTGTTAGCAATGGTAAGGAGGAATCTCTCTCTTAATTGAAGGGCACTGCTAAGGGATGGCATGCTGCCAGCCACTTCTTTGGTATGATATGGACACCTGAAGTCCTTGCTCAACTCCGTCACAGGGATCAGTACTGGCATCCAGGCCAGGCCTCCTGCTCTGCCCATCTGCTTAGGGGCTTTGCTTTTGGAGTGGTGTCCTATGTATTCCCTCCAGAAGCCTCCCTCGGCCTTGAAGCTGTGCTTATGCTCGAACCAGCTATGCAATCCAGTGTCCTGTTTTGAGCAGGCACAGGTGCCAGCTTTTCTACCTGAGTTGGGGCAGTCAATAGAGGAGCCGGAGTTGTAAGCACCAGAACTACTGGTGCAGAGGTGCTCGGCACCACAGCTGTCGACACTGAGGTCTTACACACTGGAGATTTCACTGATGAGGAGGTGGTCAGCATCAGATGCGCGGACTCTGCTGGTGTCTTTTCACTCTCTTTCCACCTCCCTATCTCGGAACGTGAAGAGTGTTCGATAGGGTCCAATACTGGTTTATCCAACCTCGATCTGGTTGTAACCACTTACCTCTAGGACCAAAGTGACCTGCACAGATTGCTCAAATAGATGCCACTTCAGCCATGTGTCCCTGGACTTGTGGGTCCCGGCAGAAAAGGACTCTCACAAAAAGCACTTATCCAGGATGTGGCAGTCTCCTAGTTAGAAATGGTATCAGCTCTGTCCATCCTTGATGGAGATCAGTCCATGGCAGGAAGGTAGGGTTTGAACCCTGAGAGCTTGGACTGGAATGGAATGGAAAACCTTTCCTATGAAAGGAGACTCGAGGAGCTTGGTTTGTTTAGCCTAACCAAAAGAAGGCTGAGGGGGGATATGATTGCTCTCTTCAAATATATCAAAGGGATAAATACCAGGGAGGGGGAGGAATTATTTCAGCTCAGTGCTAATGTGGACACGAGAACGAATGGATATAAACTGGCCGTGGGGAAATTTAGGCTTGAAATTAGACGAAGGTTTCTAACCGTCAGAGGGGTGAAATTTTGGAACAGCCTTCCGAGGGAAACGGTGGGGGCGAAAGACCTCTCTGGCTTCAAGATTAGGCTAGATAAGTTTATGGAGGGAATGGTTTGATGGGATTACATGATTCTAATCAATTAGGCAATAACGGCCATCGCTGGTAAAATGAGGGTCTGGCTAGAGATTCTTGCCTGTATGCTCGGGGTTCTGCTGATCGCCATATTTGGGGTCGGGAAGGAATTTTCCTCCAGGGTGGATTGGCAGTGGCCCTGGAGGTTTTTCGCCTTCCTCCGCAGCATAGGGCAGGGGTCGCAAGCTGGAAGATTCTCTGCGACTTGAAGTCTTTAGATCACGATCTGGAGACTTCAACAGCAGAGCTAAGGGAAAGTGGGGGGGTCAGCTTTTGTGGCCTGCATCATGCGGTGGGTCAGACTAGATGACCATATTGGTCCCTTCTGACCTTAAAGTCTATGAGTCTATGAGTCTATGAGACTTCACCGTGAGACATGGAGCTTGGCACAAAGTGCCTTGTCCCACTGTACACGGAAGTTGTCTATCAATTTTTTTTTTTTTTTTTTTGAAGGAACATCTTTCGGAGAAAAGGGGGTGTGAAGACAGAATTTTTCACTAACTGGGTGGAAAGAACTGAACAGAGTAGCAGTCAGGCACTTGCTGGGTTCTGTTTCATTGCCACAGGTGGTAAGAGGGAACTAAGGGAGGGTTGCAGCCACTCGACCCTTTATGCCCTCTCATGGGAACATGAGGAGCATAGGGTGCGTGCATGGCCCTGACCAACACCTCTATTCAAAAGAATCCAGTCTCATGCACATGTACACGCACTTGGGCTCCACACTGACCCATACTCAGAAAAGAGACCTGTCATGGGAGGATTACAAAGATTGTGCTTCCACACAGCTAGAAGCATGGATGGGAATAAGCTGCACTGGGAATCTACCCTGATTTTCATAGGTACCTTTAATAAGCTTAATGTGCTGAACTGTGACACGATTGGGGCAAATGTGTGTTTCTACTATTGATCCTTAAAACCCTGTTTTGATCTAAGATGGGTGAAAATGCAACCAGGAGTTTCTTAATTTGATGTTCTGGCATTTATTAATGTCTTGAGGTTTGTTTGTTTGATATCAGTAAGATCAGTTTGAGGACTTGAAAACCAAAGCACCAGAGGGGATTTTCTAGGTCAACAGGAGAATCAAGCTCTAAACTAGCACTGAGTGAAGCACAAAAAATTCAGAGGTTTAAATGCTTATTCCCGCTGCCTTTTTTTGGGTCAAGAAATTAGACAGGAAAATCTCACTAGATACCCAGTACTTTCTGGCTGTGGCTCATCAGAAATACAACAGGGATAGCTTCTCTTGCTGGGTTTTGGCATTTCTACTTCTGGTATCACATAAAAATCATGCAACACAAAGGAGTGTGAATTTATTTTCAAAAAGTTAAACCAAAATTTCAAAGCCTTTCAGCTTCAGTTCTGGGAGAAGCTCCAGGTTGGTTCTCTAATCTAACCTCAAAGACACCAATATTAGTGCTTTAGTTTCTTTTGTCACTACTTTCGTTGTCTCCCTTCTATTGGAATCCAGATTCCAAAGATCACTTTTTGTGGTATTACAATGTTTAGTAACTGATTTTATAAAGGAACACTTGGAAAGAAATAGGAAGGAATTTGCTGCTACAGCACAGTGCTTACAAGGTGTAAATGTGGGGCCTCCGCAATTTAACCATAATCCTATAAACATACAAGTTACTACTTCATTACTGACGAGAGTGTAACCAATGCAAAGTAGCAGCATTTCTTACTGTTTCGTTAGGGGGCTGAACCCACATTTAGGAGCTCTAATATGTCTGAGTGGATTTATCAAGTAACATCTGTGAGGAAGCACTGGACAGGAACTTTGCCCCACAAACCTGGGATGGTAGGCAATACTCAAAATGGTTACAGATGCAAATGAACCCCTTTACATTTCATAATATAATTGCCACTTACAGTTCTTGTCCTGACCCTGCTTGGGGTTTCCCTCTGAGTCACTGCTTTCTGTATCCACAGGAGAACTACATCTGGGACCTGATTCTGAGCTAGAAAAGAAAAGACCCGAGAATGAACCACAGCTGCTCCGGTCCTGATATAGGCTACTTAGAAATAACTCCTAAAAAAGAAGTTATTACAAGCAACCCTAATAACTTACAGTATAGTCAGAGCCTTGCAACAGTGACAATATATACAGTATCATTACAGTATGAGATGTGGATACCACTGATTTCAATCAGTGCCAACACAGAGGTGAGAGTATTGATCCAGAATCCACACAGACAATATTTAGAGAAAAGAAAAGAAAGATTACAGCACAGACCCCTAGCCAGTTATTCCATACAATCACACGCCAAACATTCTTTCAGAATTTGTGGAGAAGTTACTGGCATGTATACTTCATTTACCAACAAAAAGGTTGAAAGTCTGTAAATTTTGCCCATCCTTTCTCCTCAGGTGTGGCTGTCTCTGGTGCTGCTGAATCCCATACACTTGATCCAACATCCATGGCCACACAGGGTGCCGGGGGTTTTGAATTCACAGACTCAAACACAGCTGTCCACCCAGATCCTGAAGGTACAAAGATAAACAGGAGTTTCTTTTGTACAACCTTACACCTTCACAAAAAAAGTCAAAGTGGGGGGGGGGGGGGGGGGAAATTCCCAGAGGTAAAAAACAAAAATTGTGCAATGGGAATCCTTATGGGAATCTATAGGAGGACTGTAGGTGAATCTCATGTTGTTGAAAGAAATCAGGCCATTTACCATTTTATCTGAAAATTGGTTTCTCTGACAAATATTGTAACCTCCACAATAGGGGAGCACTTAAGCAATTTATTTATACAATTCTGTAACTGCAATGCACTAGCTGCAGGCACACAATGTGCTGCAGGCAAGATCTGGGCAAGTTTCTATCCATCTAGGTACTTATATGGCCCTCATCACCATACTATCTGAATGTGTCAATCATTAATGGAATTCCTCCTCTCAATGTCCCTATGAGGTAGGGAAGTGCTATTATCCCCATTTTTACGGGGGGGAACTGATATACAGGGTAGATTATCCAGGGTCACACAGGTGGTCAAATAACAGAGCCAGGGATTAAAGCCAAATCTCCTGAGTCCCAGTCCACTGCCTTATCTCTTAGAACATCCTTCTAGCCCCTCAGTTTCAGACACACAGTTCTAGCAGTGATTTGCTTCCTGACCTGCAATGCAGTACCTCTCTTAATACAATGTGTATTGTGCCAAACCAATCAGCTGTTGAGGAACATGCATAAATTAGGAGGTGATTCACCAAACCTATATTCACTCATGAATTGTACCAATATCTGAACTTAGTTTCTAGACAAAGACAATTGCACCAATTACGTGGTCCACAGAAAGTGCCTGTTGTATAAATATTCTTAATTTAATTGGCCTGGATGTAGATGTCCCTCTGATGATGACCTGAAAATATCTATGTTTTTGTAACACAAAGGGTAGGTAATGGCAGTGGAAAGTTTTTGTTTTTTACAGGAGCAGACTTGCACAATGCTATCAGTTCTTCTGTAGCAACAACACACTTGAAAAAAATAACATTTCTCTCTGCAAATTTTGTAGTCTAGTCACAAGTAACACCGAAGATTAATATAAAAGAAGTTTGCAAAAAACTTCTCCCCCTTTATTTCAGTTGATTTACTTTTAGCAACTGACAGTGCAGTGTGTATAGTCAGTTTCACTCTTGTTTATTGTCAGTTGCACTTCCTGTCTCAAGCACTACATGCTGAGATCATTCCCTTGTGTTGCTCTGGGCCAGGCTCGTGTGTGTACACTCCTTCCCCAGGCCCGGCAAGGATGGGTTTACAACAGCAAAACTGAAACTGAAATAACAGGCAGTTCTTCACATAGTAAAAAAGAGGAGGGGGAAGGAAGGTGGGGCCTGAATATATTCAGTTTTGCTCGCCATAAAACCCTTAAAAATATCCTGGGGGTCAGCGCCTTAGTCCTCTCACTTAATATCTTCTTCACTGATTTTTAATAAAAATTGACACTGTTATAGTAATTATACCCTGCTTGGGTCCAGGAGAGTAACTGACACTGCAATCTTGCAGAGCTCTAACTCTCTGCACCTGCAGGATCCAATCCCTACAACATTTTTAAGGCAGGAATACACAGATGCAAATTCACAATGGGCATTTTACTTCCCAGCTGCTGAGGCTACATTACTGAGTAGCCTCAGTAGTCATGTGGCTTGCAGGTGGCTATACATACACCCAAGTGGTAGACCTCCAGGAAAGACTGCCTGAGACATGTTTCTGGAGACTTAATTAAGATGGTATGTTGAACTTTTTACCTTCAGTAGAGTCAGAGTCTTTCTGCTCAGAAGGATTATTCTTGTTGGTGTTCTCGGTGAGAGGTGTTGTTTGTTCTTCTGTTTCCTCCTCTTCTTCTGAGTCCACACTGCCATCACGATCCCCATTCTCTAGATCACTTTTTGAGGAGCTCTCTGAGGTCTGAGACACTCCAAACCTAAATCATAGAAATCAGAGTTAGAAAGACCTATTAGGCCATGTAGTCCATCCCCTACCTGCTAGTCCCATCAGGAGGGGGAAGAAAGGGACAGTGCGGATGCTTCCTTAAAGTATGTCTTTTAATGCTTTGATCAATGTAGTTTTTGATATCATAAAAGACAGGGCTTCCTACGGGAGATATTCCTCAGCTTAATAAATGTCCTTCAGGAATTTCGGCCTAACATTCAGCCTAAATTTTCTGTTTTGTAGTTTCTTCCCATAATTTCCCATTTATATTCCCAGTAAACCCCTACAGAATCCCTCCTGTGTTTACCAAGTATCAGAGGGGTACCCGTATTAGTCTGTATCCACAAAAACAATGAGGAGTCTGGTGGCACCTTAAAGACGAACAGATTTATTTGGGCTTAAGCTTTTGTGGGTAAAAAACCCACTTCTTCAGATGCATGGAGTCATGCATCTGAAGAAGTGGGTTTTTTAACCCACGAAAGCTTATGCGCTAATAATCAGTCTTCAAGGTGCCAGCGAACTCCTCGTTGTTCCTGTGTTTACTACACCCTTCTCCCCATCACTAAATAAAGCTATACAAACAATTCTGAATCATTTCTCATAAGTCAATTGTTATTATTCACAGTAGTATCACAGGTGTGCACAGCACTGTACAGGCCCATCAAAAGACAGTCTTTCCCTGAGGAGCATGCACTTTAAACTAAACATAACAAAAAAGGCAAGAGACCGAAATACAGAAGTGGGTGGGAAGGAAAGAGGAAGAAGTATACAGAACTCAAGGGAGGGCAGATCTCTGTCATGGAGATCACGACTTACATTTCTAATCAAATGAGAATTATGACTTTATTGCACCCACAATTTTCATTCCTACTAGCAGCAGCTACATATTTCTGACCTTTCATTCAACCTTGTACATAAAAAGGAGACAGAAGGCCTAATTCAATTAATATAGGTCCATCTTCATCTTCGGTGGCACAAGACAACTTTCTTCACTTAGATTTTTGGGAGAAGGAGATTTGGACAGGAGGGAGTATACTTGTTATATAGAAACAAAAATTACACAGGACAGTAAACAAATCTTTCTGCTTTTACACACATCAGATGGAAACTGACTAAAACACAGTGATTTTACTCAATTACATTTTCCATACTGCAACGATTGAAAAGTTGGGATGAGTGATCAGTCCAGAACAACAAGAAAGAAGCATCAGAGTGAAGGATAAGCAAAGGATAAACAAAATTGACATTACAAATGATCTTTAATAAAAACAAAAAGATTCGATTTGGAAGTTGTCCCCTTCTACATCCAAGAAAGTTAAAGTTATCAAACCAGCTGGTGTTACAGTGTGCACCACTGATTTTAACTGAAGGGCTGATTCTCACTGGCACCGAGAATGGTCACACCCATCCCGTTAGGATTTATTAATTCGCAGCTGATAAAGGTGCTGGAACTGACTGCCCTGGAGACTGAAGTCCTCTACAGTATTTATTTCCAAAATACAGCGCATAGGCAGCAGCAGGGCAAGCTTCCCCACACAACCCCTCTACAGTACCTAACACCTGCCGCCCGTCCTAGAAGAATCATTTCTAGGCCAGGGAAGTGAGTTCAATCTCAATCGAGATTGAGAACGAGAACAGCAGGCAAGTTAGTGTCACCTGGCCTGGTGGCTTGTGATATGCAGATAATTGTCCATTAGCAACTGGACTGAGAATATTAATACATTTCACACAATTCAATTTCAGCCTCTTGGTTGTTTCTGTTGTCCAATTTGTCCACATCTTTTAAAACTGCAACTGTAGAAGAATTTATTATTAAATAATTAATAAATCTAAGGGATGAATCACAAATTCATTACAATACCAGCTACACAACATGTAAGGGCCCTAATTCTCACCAAAAACAATTTTTTCTTGTTTTCACAATTTTAAAAAGAACCCTACATCTCCTCCCTTATTAAACAAACTAATCGCTGTTCTCTCTACCTCTTCCTCTGGAACAAGACATGGGCTTTACACTCAGTTTCTGGGAGGTGAGAAAAGGAATGGCTTCTAAAAAATTCTTCAAATAAAGGCAGTTTCTCTCCTCCACAACTGGTTGTGTATCCTAGTGTTTCCCTCATTATTACATGCCCTCAAGCCTGGCCTCATTTGTACATGACAGGTGTCTTGCTCGAAGTTTAAGACAAGCAATAATCTCTTTATAGGAGCAGCCCATATAAAGCCATTCTGTTTTATACAAGCAAGAGGCTCCAAAGCACATATTTATAAGGAATAATGAACTGGAATATACAACCTGACAATATTCAGAAAAAAAAGACAGACCTTTTGCTTTCACCTTACCGTGTTCTTGATTTGACTTGGGTTGCATAGGTTATTTCCTTCTCCTCCCAGATATCTTCCTCCTCCTCTTTATCGTCAAACTGTTGGATCCGTTCATTGCAGCAGGCCTCAAAGAGGGATGCATTTGGCTAAAACAAATTTCAACAGAAATCAGGTTCTACAGATTCCCAGGGGCGGAAGCAACAAGAATGCTGGTGCAGAGCAGAGTTCACAAAGCACAGTGTCTATATACATCTAGTCCCCCTGGAGGCATACGTACACTTTTCACTTTACTTTCACCCAGGATAAGGAACAGGCAATATACATAAGTGGAAGGGCCAAGAGTCAGAAAGAGGTTTGGTAAGCCTGGAGGCAGGAAGCCAAGAAGATACCAAATAAGAAATAAGGCTGTCACAGCCTGGCTTGCGTCTGAAATAAAAGGTATCCCTGCTTGCTGCTTCATAGTCATCCTGTCATACAAATCTCTCCACTTCACGCACTGTGGTAGGGAGGCTTCTCTGCCATGGGCGGTTGTCTCAGAGATATTTCAGACAAAGTACCGTACATACTCGTTCATAAGCCGAATTTTTTTAGTAAAAAAGGGAAGCACCAGAGAAGGGGGTCGGCTTATGAACGGGTATAGAGAGGGAGAGGTGGGACACAGCCCCTCCCCCCAACAGAGGGGGTAAGGAGAGGCAGCACAGCCAGCAGAGCCAGAAGGGAAGAGGCGGGGCCAGAGTCACACCCCTTCTGGCCACGATGCTCTCCCCCCAGCCTCCAAAGCAGCTGCAGCTCCAGAGCTGGCAGGCTGCAGCCGTGCCACTCAGCCCCCCCCCCAGAGCAGGCTGTGGCCGCGCCGCCCGGCCCGCCGGAGCACACTGCGACCCCACCGCCCAGCCCAGCCCGCTGGAACATGCTGTGGCCGCACCACCCGGTCTGGCCTACCAGAACAGGTTGCGGCCGCGCTGCCCAGCCTGCCAGAGCAGCTCCAGCCAGGCCAGAGACATCCTCCCCTGGCCCTCCCCAGATAAGGTGGGAAGGGATGGGATGGGAAGGGGAGAGTGTGGGGGTTCTGGGCTAGGGGTGGGGTCATGTGGGGGGTGGTCACAGGGGTTACTCTCCTGACCCCCAGTTTCTCTCCCCCAAAAAATTTCCCCACCAGTTGCTGTCCCAGCCCGTCAGGGTAAGCAGGTGTGCCGGGACACTGTTTACTTAGGTGTACCTCCGTGCCTGCGGACGCTCAAGGTAAACAAACCATCTCAGCCCACCAGCAGCTTATCCCGATGGCCCGGGAGCCAAAGTTTGCCGACCCCTGAATTATAGGGTCGGCTTATGAACGGGTCATAAAAAATTTCCATTTTTACTTATCCATCTTGGGGGGGGGCGGCGGGGGGGAAGAGTCGGCTTATAAACGAACTGGCTTATGATCAAGTACATACAGTAAATCATTCACTCACAAATTTTCCAGTTTGGAATTCTGAGAATAAAGAGATGATGGCATGGATATAGTCCACTCCACATAGACAAATGAACTTCCCACAGCATAATTTCAGCTTTCAGGCTAAATTTCAACTGAGTAATTACATTCTTCCTACTTAAAGCACCCTGTAATGCTAACTGGTGTGCTATTCCTGAACTCTTGCTCTGTCCAACACATAGCACTTTCCATCCCAGCAGTGGCTGCATTTCAGTGGCTGGTGAAGTCGCATATTTCTGAACATACACAATTTGTGATCAGTTTGCCAAGTTCGTTGAGTGCTTTGGGGATCTTTGGATAAAAGGTTCTAAGTATGTGTCAGTTATGAGATGATGTACTATCATAACCAAGAGCTGTAGTGAAATTTCAATACCAAAAAACCCCCTCTCTAGTTAGGAAAACACAGCTAAGCATATTAAATGCTATCTGGGGCTGCAGGTTTTAGTTTGCAGTTTCAAGCAAAACACAATGAATTTTTGCATCTCAGAAATTTTGCCGCAGGAGTGAAGAGAGAAAAGGGAAGAAGTAACTAATTTTTCACTGAGCAGTGTAAGGGAAGTTTTTAAAAGAAGCAGTTTTAAGACTAAGGAAATCAAATGCCCTCAGTTCTGAACGGAACAGGTTTTGTCAGGAAACAGGTGTAGGGGACTCTTCACTTGCACCATTATCCAGCTCCCACAACGGGTGCTGACTCAGTACAGTATGGTGGAGAGACAAAGGATGGGGTGGCAATACTCAGATCTGCAAGGAACCAATGTTCTAATATTTTTATTCACCAACTTCTAATCCTATTCAACAGTCAGAAAGGGTGGCAGGGAGAGACAACGGGCAACAGCAGGCTCATAGGGCATTTGCTAGCAAAGACAGAATCACACCATCCAGCTCCTGTAATGGAGTCTTAGAGCTAGACGATGCAACAGCAGACTGAAAGAGTAAGAGAATTATATAGTAAAGTGATTTCAGTGTCCTGATTCCCTTGCTTGGAGATAGGCATTGGGACATCTTTTTCTTTACTACATAAATAAAATTCAGCACCCCTTTTCTCCAAGATGCAAATGGCTGCATCTGATTCAACCATGGACTGACCTGCTGGAGTCAGTCTTGTTCAATAAATATCCAGAAACCCCACTTACACTGTCATCATCCGCATCTATGTTGAAGTTTATCTCTGCAATCCTGTCAAAAGGTGCACTGCAAAGAGAAATCTGCATAAGGGCTTGGAGCAACAGGGACAAAGACAGCTAAACATATAAAGACATTTTGCAACCCAACTTCTCTGCTGTTCTCTGCACACTCATTGCTGTATTATTCCAACCCAATGATTTCTTTACTCTAGTCCTTGAGGGGAAAAAATAACATAACCTTGTTCTCTGCAGATATCACTTGTAGGATAAATACCCCTAGATGTTGTTCAGCTCCTTAGCATGAGACCAGTGGGACTATCCTAGCTCATAAGGTATTTTGACTGTATAGAGCAATGTAGCGAGACAGAGAATAAACCAAGCCCCGACTGGCTGTCACGTGCCAACTCCTGCAAAGTATAAATGCTGCCTGCAAATGTCTGTCAGTTCCTTCAACTGAGTCAGAGACAAAGCTCCCAAAGATAAGGCCAATTCCAGCTGATCACAAACCTCTAGGAGCTTCTCATATAATCATGTTCCGTCCTTACTGATCACTTATGTAGCTACTCAAAGTGCCTAGTGGATAATGATGCAAATCACAAAAATCATCAAATAGCTCACACTGGCAATTAGATTAAGAGAGACCATTACTAGAACGGGAAAGGGTTCCACAGGGCAAGAGTGCAGTTCATTGGAATAACCTGAGGGGATTGAGGAGGGGGATTTTATGCCACATCTACACATGCTTAAATCTGGGCAGTGTTATTTATGTCTCAAATGTTATCAATTAAAGCTATTAAGTTAGTGCATCTGTTGTAAAATATTAAAAAATATTCAAATGACCATCCTACTAAAAAAAGGGTCATTTTTAATTATATCTTAAGTTACTTCTTTCACAGGTTTCACCAACAAATATCCTACACTGGAAGAGCCTTTGTTTTCTTCTCTCTCCCTTCCTATTCATCCTCATGGGAATGGACAGTATGTTCCAGCTACAATTCTCGTTCAGCTCCAGTTTTACATTAACTGTCTCTACATGACTCCTGATAGAACTTATGCTGCTTTTCCCCCAATAATTGATTTAATTCCTATTTTATTACAAAATGGGAAAAACAATTACCCCATAATCAGTCAATTGCATGCTGGATTGGAACTTGTTGGCCCTATTAATGGCCCTTATGACCACAATGCTCAAGAAAAAGGCTAGAGAATATCTAAGATCCTCCCTTCACACTGAAAAGTAGCTTCCATTTATTTAAATATCATTCTAGTGGAGACCCTAGAACTTTGAGAATCCTGAGACCTTCAGAGCTAGATAGTACTGACAGCTTTCAGGACATACTGGTTGGTACTTTCTTGAGGGTGACTCTAAAGATGGTACAAACTCATCTGAAGCTGGCATACAACATGAAATAGCAATTTGAAAACAGTTATTTTACTCAGGACCTGGTAGTGACTTAAGTTCTGCCATGAAGAGAACAAACAATGAACTTCCCAATAACTCAAATTCAACGGGAGCTGCAAAAGATTCAAAGAGTCATTTTACTACCACAGAGCTTTCCAGGCTAAAAACTGCCCCTTTCTGCCCCTTACTGATCACCAGGTCACTAAGTCCATCAGCCTCTAGCATTTTTCTATTTGAAATTAAGTCTCACAAAATGGAAGGAGACCTCTAACTTTTTAATGCTATATGAAATACAGTTATAAGATGTTATACTTTATTTTTAATGACAGAAACATATAAGGGTGGTGATAATCTCGGGAGATGGGGATGAGGAGGTGTTTTTAATGAGATTAGCATCTCTTACGTAACAGCTGCACAGTCATTATCACTTAGGGTATGTCTACAGTGCAGTGTAAGCCCCGGGGTTGAACTCAGGCATAGCCTATCCGCCCCATCCTTCTAGCTACAACAACTCACACAAACTGAGGGCTCAGACCCTGGGTCGCAGGACGCCATGGGGTGGAGAGTCCAAGCCTGACTTAAGTCAGGACCCAGGGTTCAAGCTCTATTGATTTGCAGTGAACTCATGCTGTGGGGGTTTGTTTACATTGCAATAAAACACCTGCGGCTGGCCTGTGTCAGCAGACTTGGCCTTGCAGGGCTATAAAATTGCCATGTAGACCTTCAGGCTGGGCTCTGAGACCCCCGCCACTTCAGAGCCCAAGCGAGAACGTCTATGCCGCTACTTTTAGCCTTGTAGATTGAAGCTGTGAGCACAAGCCCGGGTTCCGAGATTCACCGCCGAGGGTTGGATATTGGGGAGGGGGGGGACTGGGGGGGCAGTGCAGACGTACCCTAAGATTCTGTAACACGAAATCCATCCACCTCTCCCTTCTTAATGGTTTTTGGAATTGCCTTATCACTTGCATGCTTCCTTCTACATGAGGAAGATGAAGATTTCCTCGGGGACTTCATCTGACTGCCAATCTTCAACTGTAGACATGACAAAACTGGAAAAATGAACTCACTTGATATTGTCATCCTGGTCTGCAAACTCTTCGTCATTGAAGCCAAACTGATCCACAAAGTTGGCTGTCATCTGTTGGATTTGGTACTCTGAGAATGCCTGAGGGATGCAGCCAGAGACTGGTTATAAAGCAATTCAAGGAGTTTAAAATAAACATTACAAGAAGATGCTGCTAATCAAGCCTATCCCACCCATGGTCTACTCCTCTGAGTTTGTTTGCCGCCTAGCACAATGGGGCCCCATTCTTGGATGGCCCTTAGGCACTACTATAATAAACTTAACTATATAATTATAATAGTTCAATTTTCCAGGCTAGGCATCTCCACCACTATTGTTTGTTAGGACTTTGCTGCAGTAGCCAGCAAACACCTGTTTTTCTGACCCTCAGTATATTGAAGTCCTCCTGTTAGCACTGCCATCCCACCAGTGCAAGGGGGAAATTCCCATTTCCCTTGTAGAGAGAAGTCAGTTAATTTCCCTTGTTTTTATGGGGGGCTTTAACATAGCAACTAGGGAAAGAAAAACACTGGGGTGAAAAGAAAAGTGTTTTTGCAAAACCACAGAAGTTGGCTGGGGGACTCAGGTGAAAGGGTAAGTAACCTGAAACTCATTTTTTGAACCTCACTAGATTTCAGGTTAAGGGTGTCCCTTCAATCCCCACACCTGGTTTTATATGACTAGCTAAAACTGAAGTACCTAAAATGTCTTTGCTGGATCTAATCTGCCCTGCCCTTTCCTAAACTCCGCCTCTACTTTCCCCACGAGTCTAGAGACACTTCTCCTCCCATTCTACTCTCACCTAACAATCACTATGCAAATACACCCTTCAGCAGCCCTCACAGAGTGCTCCTGATGACGAGGGCCAGATTTATACACAGGCAAACTAGGCACCTAGGGCCAAAATTCATTGGAGGGGGAGCGGGCCCGCCATGCAGTACACTCACTGTGGTCAGGGTTGCCATACTACAGATCTGCCAGGACCAGCTGCTCATCCTGCCACTACTCAGGGCCCTGCTCACTATGATGGAAGCACAGGCAGGCCAAACCTGAGTGGTGCTGTGACCTCGTGCACCAGGTCACAACTGTGCTCATTCAAATTAGGCCCGGCCACACCTCCAACAGCATAGGTAGGGGCCCGTAGTGTATGTCTGCCTGGGGCCCAATGATGGGTTAATCCAGCCCTGCTGCTGTCCAACCTGGCTCTACCAGTAACCATTAGGAAATTTTGAACATTTGCCTCCAGACACAAGAAAGCAAAATTCACCCCTTCATTTGGCTTTCTCATTTTATAAGAGAATCCCTATATAATTGCCTTCCCTTTCCTTTATAAATAATACCATTGTAACCCATAGATCTCAATGAGCTTTATGAAAGAGATATGTATCACTATATCCCCATTTTAAAGTTGAGGAACCTAAGGCACAGAGAGATCCTACCGCAGAGCGTCTGGAGAGCTGGGAAGAGAATCCAGCACTCAATCTAATGGGTCACACTACCTCTTTCTAACAAAATGTCTGGCTTCCCCATGGGCACCTCCAGCAGGGGAGCAGTCTTCACCAATGGTCAGCTCTATCCTCTGCTGCAGTGAGTGAGTGATATTTTACCAACAGGCACAAAAGCTTTAGGGTGAGAAGGTTCAAATACTGGGCAAACTGTCCTTCCTTTCCTATAAAACCATCTCGACTGTTAATGGATTAGACAGACACACAAGCAGCATTAGACCCTGGTAAGAACTTAGGAAGCTGCGCCATAGTGAGAAGGATTAAAGATGAAGCCAGATGTAGTGTGCTTCTTGGCAACAGTACGAAGCACAGAGTCTGTCACCTGTTGGAGGGAGAGTTCATTGGGGAAAGCGCTCTCGATGTCCTCGTCCTCACTGGAAGAATGCAGATGGTGGGTGCTCACCTGAAACAAAGATCAAAATGAATGTCAGGGAAAGCCAAGAGAGGTCACAGTATAATCTTGCCCTATTAAAAATCCATGACAGCCAGAGACCAACGCGATCTAGTAGGAATTATTTTCCTTCAGAGAGCAACATCATGAGACACAATAGACATCAGAGAGGTTGCCAAGCTACAGCAGTATTGCCACTAGGTCAGAGAGAAATCCCTCACATTCAGCACTAGAGAGGAGAGGTTAACTATAACTTCCTGCTCCGGCCCCTGTATACCCGCTGTGTAGGATCAAGGAAAAATATCACAGAAAAGGTCGTACAAAACCGGTAATTTTCAAATAAAACAGGTGCCAGAAAGCGGCAGGCCCATCTGAAATATGCAGAAGCGTTTAGCACTGTCCTTACCAAATCCACTGTATTCTTCCGGTTTGTCTCTCTCAGCGTCTCTTCTACAAAGCTCTCCCACCTCCCTCTGCAATCCTCAGGTAGCTCTGTAACAAATGGGTCACCACCATAGTTACCTCACAGCTCAAGGAACAAAGAACCAGTGCCAGTCAATGGAACACATCAGTCTCACTCTCTCCCATGTATTACACAATGTTCAGATCCCCAGACGAGTAAGGAACAGTGTTCTGGGGTATATGCATCTCAATACCTGATGCAATATTTTATATAACATGTTTTTAATCCCTCAGCACTTGTACAACAAAAACATGGTGATATTTAAAAAGATTAAAAACATTCCTATGATCCAAAACACTGAAAGTCAATGGAGAATCCAACAAAGCAAACAGAAGACAAAACAAAGATATGGGGCCAAGACTGGCAATACACACATCTGAGGAAGAGGGGTACATCTGAGGTGTCATTTAAGAGCTGAGAGGGCATTGGCTGAGATGGATATCAGAGCATGGAGAGATTCCCTAAGGACCTCCAAAGGAAAGTTAACTCATGCCATTTCATATTCCTTGGATACTATGTACTGTAACTACTAGTTCTGCCCATGCATTATAATGTACCACCTCAGTTCTGGGCGTTGCTCAGTGTTTAACATGCTATTCTCCCATGCAATGAACCGGGTTAGAAAGCTAAAGAGAATAGAAATAAGGAAAATTCCTCAGCCAATGTAGCCCCTAAATGGCCAAGCAAACTAGAAGACAACGCTTACAAATTCTTGCCCAATGCAACTTCTCAAGTTGCTAACATTAGTGTTTGACAAGCATGTAAGAAGCCAAGAAAGGTGAAAGATTCCTCCCATCTGCACCAATGTGTTTTCAATTAACATACTTAATTGGGTATCCTTATCTTCTCCTAGACATTCTCCCCACAACACCTCTTAAGCCCCAACACCCACACTTTATTTATTGTCATTTCTTGATATGTTATGTCTAAACTAGACTGTCAGCTTCCAGGGACAGGGACCCGTTCTCCCCTGTAAATCTAAGGTACTGCAAAAATGTACAACCTCCTGTTGAACAAGGCATTCTGTAGGACAAAACGAGTCAAACTCTGCACATGGTTATGCAGATACAATCCCACAGACTTCGATGTCGCAGTGTGCATGTAAGAGAGAGCAGAATGTGGCCAAAAGCCTCCATAAGAATCAAATATAAACATTCAGCCAGAAATCTTTTTTTTTTTAAACTGTAAAATGGACTCTTACCAGCATGTAAAACAAGGCAAAATAAAGTGTTTCAGAAAGAGCTATTCAATCAGAAAAACACGTGATGGAACAGGGACTAGGACCATGTACCTTTAATGAATTCACTGATCTGGGTCTGCATGGGGCCCTTCTCCATATTCTGTACCACAGCATTGGCTATTCGGGTAAGGTGGCCCATATTCCCTCGCCTCATTCCACCTTCTGCCCTGAAAACAGCAACAGTCAGTACCAGTTCAACAAAACACTCATCAACAAATTCTTAAGAGTCACCTGCTGCTGCCAGAATTTAACGTGTGTAAACAGTAATTACTACCAGTGTGGCAGATGTAAAGATGCTGCATCAACACAGAACAGGCTGAAGGAGATGTGCTGTCTCACAACAGAGGAACCAGTTCATATTGTCTCACGCAGATAGTGAGAAGGGAAGAGAGAACTCCCATTGCACCGGGTACACCAGTCATCTATAAAAGCAGCTCTGAGATACTAGCACAGAACTAGATCATTTGTTAATCATCACTTCCCTGAAACAAAGACACAGCAACAGAGAAAGATTCGAATCATTGCTGTATTTAAAAACCATTGGGATTGTAGTTGAAGGTAAGAGAGAACAAAAGAGATCCTAATCTATGATGACATATTTCCCTCTTAAAAAGAATTTAAAAAAAAATCAAAATTACGTCAAATAATAAAGTCACATTGCCCCTGTATTTTCGTTGCTCCAATGCTATCCAAGGAAAGTGTCAATCTCAAAATCAATCAGTGAGTGAAATGGCTGAGCCAATCCTCCTATCCACACTATGCAGAAAAGGACAGAAGTGACTCAGGAATCAAAATAGATTAGCATTGCTGGCAGGTCAGCAGGTGGCACTTACACAGCTCAGACCAGAACTACTCAGCTAATATAGAAGATCTGCTTTCAAACTGGCAGGTGCTGACAATCAAAAGAATGGCTAGAACTCGAACAAGTAACCTAATTATTCATTTCAACCCTTCAGTCACATTACAGAATATCTCATCAAATATTCAGGTTTGAGTCAAATATTATTTGTGCAGCTCTAACTGTGTGCAAGGCTGACACAGGCAGCCCTGCTGAATATTGTGGAGGCTGGTCCAAACCGAAGCACATTAAAAACATCATAGAAACACAATGTAAAAGAAGTCTCCATGTCACCCACTACTGAACTCTAGACAAAATACTGTAAAAAGAAAACCACCTCTTTTATCTGAGCTCCTGGAGGAGATGTTGATGATAAAAGCATACAGTACTTCAGTGACACGTAAAACTTTTCACTTTATATTTTGGAGTAACTGGAATATATCAAAAGTTAATTTTGCGATGGTTTGCTGTTCTAATGTCAATTCCCCATAAATGCTTTGGAGTTTTCATAGACTGATTGATTTTAGGGCCAGAGGGGACCACCTTGATCGTCCAGATTGACCTGCATAACACCAGCCGCAGGACTCCCGTTTTGCTCAGGATGTTACTGTAAAATTCAGTATTAGATAATAAGGTGACAGGCTTTATACAAACCCCCTAGTCAGGATGTTCCTTTTAACAACATGAAGTTGTGCCTAAAAATTCGAGCATTAATTATGAGCTAAATCAAGAGGTCCACAAGTGTCTCCTGAATCTCAATGAGTGACAGACGTCAAAGCCCAAACAGAGATGACAGAGAGGCAAGGTGGGTGAGGTAATATTTTTTATTGGACAAGCTTCTGTTGGTGAGAGAGACAAGTCATAAGGAGGAAAGGAAGAGGTGTTAATGGGCCACTTCACTTTGAAATGTGTGTTAACTACTTAGGCTAAACAATCTGTTCTACCTTGTATTAGCTGTGAGACACTGAGAAAGTTTCATCACCCCCAATCATTTAAATCTATAAAACAAAATTCAAGTAATATCGACAGAGACAATTATGGTTGTCAGTGCATTATTTACCATGCAGGAGGATTGTCAAGAGAAATTAGCAAATTGCCTCTACAGCACATTGAAGCTGTAAAGTGCTATAAATAGCAGCAAAATGTTTAGGCAAGCAAGGAAACGGAAGCCCAGATAATTTTCTTTCACATCAGTCTATTTTCTTTATTTTTAGAGTCGTATTTCATACCAATCACCACATTCCCTGAATGGCTTCCAGTGTTAGAAAATTACAGGAGGAATCTAATCTCAAATAGGGTTTCCCAGACATTCTTCTCCCAAAAGTGGGGGGAACAGTACATAGGTTATTTTTTTTTAAAAAAAGCAAGCTGATGTGCTATGTGATGTTCTTTGGGAAACCAAGAATGAAGTGTGCGTTGCATGTCTACTGGAGCACTGTGAGGTTCTTACCTGTCCACGAGGGTCTATGTATGTGTTTACCTGGTATGTATTTGATTTTTAACATCTGAACAATCTGCATTCTGATTTTATAGCACATTAGCAAACTTCTCTATTGTCCAAATAATTGAAAGAATATTCAACACAATAGTCAAAATTTGCAGCCCTCAAATTGGGCCCTCCATACAACCAAAAACGCCCTTACTGTATTTTGTCATTGACTTCCCAGGCATCCAATATCCTTTGCAACAGGCAGCACTTCTGGAACAGCTAGAGAGGGAGAGATAGCGAGAACGTTTCAGACACGGGCTAAAGGAAATCCTGTGGCCTATATTAGATCGGGGATCACTTTCATTAATCTCCTTACACTTTCTATCACTTAAAATTACTTTAAGACAAATTTTAAATGGATTCATCTTGACAGAACAAACTGCACAAGAACACTAAAAAGGTCCAGCAATCCTCTCAAGTTTTCCTTAAGTGGTTCAATCTTCCTCTATGTCATAGAGCTTCCCTTCTCTTAGAGGAGGGGAGAGACAGTGATTCCTGTAAGATTCTTCACTTTACTCATAATATTATTTTAAGAGAGCTATCATGGTTTTAAGACAACAGCACAGAATATTCTCAGCACTAGAAGCACAGGCACAGAAAGAGTCGGGAATCTGTAATCATAACGATTGGTTTTGGGGATTTTTTGGTTCAAAATGTCTATGCATCTTTACTAAAAGGAAAAGTGATCTCTAAACTCATGAAGAGGGGTGATATTTTTCCTCTATACACCTCTACCTCGATATAACGCTGTCCTCAGGAGCCAAAAAATCTTACCGCGTTATAGGTGAAACCACGTTATATCGAACTTGCTTTGATCCACCGGAGTGCGCAGCCCCACCCCCCCCGGAGCACTGCTTTACCGCGTTATATCCGAATTCGTGTTATATCAGGTCGCGTTATATCAGGGTAGAGGTGTAGTTGAAAGAATAAATCATCTGTACAAAGGCAAGTACATTTCCATCCAGAACTAGAAGACCAAAGCAATGTCTAGACACCTTGATAAGCATTACCCTCTCTTCTTGAGCAGTTTGTCAGGTTACTCTCTTGTTAACCAAGACCCGTGCTGAATCCATCCATCTAAACCTCTCAAGTGACACGACTAGACTTACATGTGTCACCATAATATTCTCTGGACTGTGGTCGGGAGTCTTCAAGTCCTCTGTGGTCACATTCCCATTCAGCACCTCCTCTTTATTTTCCAGATCATTTGTTGCTGATTTCCCTTCGTGCACTGAGTGCGAGAGAATAGCTGCTATGCACAGTTCCACTTGGAAGTGCAAAAAGTTATTCCATGTGTATTTAAAAAATAAGTCCTGGAACAAAATAAAGGACAGAAAAAAAATCCACTTAGGACACACGTCTGATCAGATCTTTACACACACACACACACACACACACACATACACACACACAGTAACAACAAGAGGGACAAAGTGGAAGTATACTGTCAGTCAGCCCAATTTACAGAGCATATTTCCTGAGGGCAAGACAGTGAAACTTCGATCAGTGGAATCACTTGTGGAGTAAGGTACTACACTCAACATAAGATAGTCTGTGTTATAATGGTGCAGCCTGGTTTCTACGCAGGCTTCACTCCAAAAACTGAGGGCCCTTGAGACTGCAAAAGTGTAATCTAATTCACCCAAACAAAAACTTTGTTAACATAAGGGTTATATTTGCTCAAGTGCTAATTCCACCACGATAATCACTAAAAATCAAGGAAATCAACAGTTAAGACAACCTTCATTCACATACCTTAACATCATTACTCCTGGGGGAATTCTGTGCCACTGCACACGCACAGAATTCATGTCTGGAGCAAAACAAAATTTTCCCCTGCAGAAAATACATTCAGCCCAAGAAGTGTGGCAGTGGTGCCAAAACAGCCGGCTGAGCGGCAGTAACAGCCAGCAGCAATCAGCGTTCATCACAGCAGCCTGCCGGTGGAGCCAGGGTAGGAGGCAGAGTG